CTCCCATTCCCACAGTGCGGTCTACGCCACCTCCATGTCTCCTCCTGTGGTGGAGCAAATCATCACTTCTATGAAGTGCATTATGGGAGAGGATGGCACAACAATAGGTAAGCCTCAGTCCAGATTGTTCACTTTTTTATATGTGAGAAAACTGCATTTCAAGATAAAGTGTAAAAATGTTTTGCTTTTAAGGCGTCATTATGTTGGATGTTGAGACAAATCTCACTTCCCACTTACTTATAGTGCACTCCACATGCACTGCAGTCCATGACCACATCTGAATCTGATTGGTATATAGGCTCACAAAGATGCTATGTTGAGGTCAGATTTCCTCTATAGATCGATCAAAGAGTGATAAACAGCTAAACTCTGCAGCAACGTCAAACTGCAAAACAGTTTCGGATTCAAAATGTAAATCATGCAGAGTTCAGCAAACGTCAGGCTGTTCTTGCATATTTACTATAGTGCATAATGGTCCTTGGTTATTTGTTTTGTTGCATTGTGTTTATCATTTGGTGACGTCTCCACTTCTGATGATTTTACGTCAGCAGTAATTGTTATGTTGGGCCACCAGGTGTCACTGCAAAGTTAAGAATTGTAGGACTGGAGCCAGCATCTGGTCTTTTTCACCAGATGTTACATAAAGAAAAGGAGTAGAAGGGGAAAAAAGAACGATGTCCAGTTATAAATATGTATTTTTTATTTTTTTTACAATGGTTACTTGATTTAAAGAGGTTAAGGAATATTTTATGATGATCTGTGTTTATAGACAAGAGGCAATTCTATCTCCTCTACATGGATTGTTTAATCTAACCTCAAACGTTTTGCTAGAACAGTTCAAGATGTCGCTAAGCGAAATCTAAAGTCCACAGTACACAGTTTGATTCAAATGTAGACGTGCAGAACGTTTCTTTTTCATCTTTGGAGAGCATCATTAAGAGCTCGTTTTGTTTTTTGCACTTCAGGAAAGTCAGATTGAGTAAAGAATAAACAGCCCTCAGTAAGAGAATCACCTCTAAAATTGAGTTGCAATCAGTTGCAACCAGTGACTGACAAAATGTGGATGTAAAGAAAAATTATTAAAAACCCACAAGAAAAAATCAATCCAGACGAAAATAAATATGGGTAGTTAAAAGATGAATGATACAAGCATGACACAATTTAAATAATGTGTTACGACCCGGCTCAAAAGCCGCAACATAAAAAAGGAGATGAATACCAGAGTGTTAGTGAGAAGAGGCTTTATCTTAAAATGGCATAGCAGGTTGGCTCAAATGGCTGGTACCACCAAGGCAAAGACTAGTGAGCTCTCTGGACGCTTGCCTCAGGTATGCTTTTATCCACACCTGACTAGGTGTGGCCAATTAGCACCAGCTGAACACACTGAGCAGATTAGAGGCTGCAGAGGAACTTAACACCTCCTCCCTTAAAAGGGTTCCTCTAGGACCCCTAAATTTATTAAAAGCCCCTCTGAAGCCTTCAGGTCCTTGACCCACAAACCTGGAATAAAAGTTAAAGCTAACAGAAGCACAGTGTTCACATTATAGTTGGCATCTCTAAGCATAGATGGACATGAGGATTTGAAGAACACACACAAAAAGTAACATGTGACCAACACAAAGGAGCACAACAGTCACAAACCCAAAATGATTACCTGATCTGTTACAACACAAAACCAAAAGTAGCAACAAATAATCACAACTAAGTGATCTGTTGTCTCCACCACACAAACAGTCACATACAAGTGGCCCTATACCACAACAAGTTACTTTAATCCAAAAAGTTCAGTAAATCAAGCACACTCTCCACAAAGTGGAGCGCTATGGCCACACAATGATCACATCAAGGGTGGCTCGGCACCCCACAGTGTTATTGCCATCACCTGGCCAACAACACTCACAAGTGATCCAACAAAATAGCCATATTCCCCACAACACTAAAGGTCACAGCACAAAACACTCACCTCACAAGGCTCTCATTAGCATCCATCAACACTGACATATGCACACACAAAAACAGCCTACCTGCCTCAGCTACAGACCATAATCATGAATGGTTTCAAACCTCCTACAAAGTTTGGTGCCACTGATTTACTATGTCTAACTCCCAACCTAAAACACTAAAAACAACAAAACCCTGACTTTACCTACCCTAGTCTTCAGTGGTGTACCAGGCTCGAGGCAACTTTAGAGAGAGAACAAATGCAAATGCAGATTTACACCAAACAAACTCGTTATTATAAACGAATAATAAACTTGTTTGTTAACAAACCCAGAACACCAATAAAAACAAAAACATTTAACTGATAAAGCAGTGAATGAAGCCAGGCTTCATTAATGAGTTCGCTATATCCAGTGAGTGTGAGTAACACATTACACTAAGCAGAGATGAGTGGATATCACGGCGCTCTGTGAATATTCACATATTGTCCATTAACACACCAGCATGTGATGACTTGTGTGTCTAACACGTTAAAGTGGCAAAGCGAACGGCTGTCATCACACTGCAAAAAACAAAACCTAGATGATTAAATATAGATGATCTTAGAACGCGGGACATCCGTGTTATTAACTTCCATCGTGCTTCCCATCAACTCTGTCTCCAAATTTCTTCATCATCCTTAGGCAGTGAGCGTGTGCAGCAGCTGGCAGAGAACACGGTCTATTTCCGCAAGAGGCTTCGAGAAATGGGCTTCATCATCTACGGCAACAACGACTCTCCCGTCGTACCCTTGATGCTCTACATGCCCGCCAAGATAGGGTGAGCCGCCATCTTTGCTGTTTACTACTGCTCTGATTGCTGGAACTCTGAATTGGAGCCTTTAGAGCAATACAGTGTGATCAATTATATCAGTTGTTGATGGGTATTGTTTTTTTCCCCCTGAAATATTATTAAGGTAACAAGATTAAAAACTCTGTTATAGCAGTGGACAGTAGACGGTGTCCCAACGTCACATCACAAGAGCTCAGGTGTTAAACTGACTGCAGAAACTGAGTCTCAGTGCACACATGCTTTAGTATCAGTACAATGACTGTACCTCTGCAGCTTTAATTAATCCTGCTGTAAATATCAAGCAAAACACTGGGACCAAAGCAGGTTTGGGACCATTCCTTTTTTCTTCTAATGAAGAATTTTTCTGTCTTCATAAAGCTTCTGCAGACATGTTTTCATAGAAGACTTTACCCATCGTTTTTGTCTGTCATACTCTTTATTAAACCTCTGCGGTTATTTTTGCTATTCAGTTTTTTCAATTCAATTCAGTTTTATTTATACTGCACCAAATCACAACAGTTGCCTCAAGGCGCTTTATGTTATATGGTAGAGCCTACAATAATACGTACAGAGAAAAACCCAACAATCATATGACCCCCTATGAGCAGCACTTTGGCGACAGTGGGAAGGAAAAACTCCCTTTTAACAGGAAGAAACCTCCAGCAGAACCAGGCTCAGGGAGGGGCGGGGCCATCTGCCCTGACCAGTTGGGGTGAGAGAAGGAAGACAGGATAAAAGACATGCTGTGGAAGAGAGACAGAGATTAATAACAAGTACGATTCAATGCAGAGAGGTCTGTTAACACATAGTGAGTGAGAAAGGTGACTGAAGAAGAAACACTGAATGCTGGGAATCCCCCAGCAGCATAACTAAGGGAGGATTCAGGGTCACCTGATCCAGCCAGCTTTGTCTCTCCCACCAGAGCGTTTGGCAGGGAGATGCTGAAGAGGAACATTGGCGTGGTGGTCGTGGGCTTCCCTGCTACACCCATCATCGAGTCGCGAGCACGCTTCTGCATCTCTGCCGGCCACTCGAAAAACATGCTCGACCAGGTAAACACACACTTAAAAATATCTTAACACTTTTAGTATTCAGCATGTCTCATTTAGCACATTCTAGATACGACAATGATTTCTCAAAATGGGAGAAATTTCTTTCTTTTTTTTGGTCTTTAAGACCAAGAAGAAGAAGCTGTTGCACACCACTGTGTGTCATTAAATCCTGCTAAATAATGACCACTAAAAATACTGTTCTGCTCTGTCCTGATGTCTCAAACATGGCAGTTAATTGGATGTAATATTCTGCAGCTTGTACTTAGTATGCAAAAGCTGTCAGGTTTTTTTTTTTCTTTAAAGAAAGACTGCAGCACCTACAGCTGCAGATGTATTGATGTTGACTAGTCTTGCGTATCCACTTCTCGCCGTCCACATAGGCGAGCGGTCAGGCTGAAGCCATTACATTTCAGTGAAAAACATTCCCCGAATTCCTCTAATTACTCCGAATTGTTAGACCCGAGCCTCTCTGAACTAAGCTCTCTGGTGTTTTGCTAAGTGTACTTCCACAGGGGCTATGGCTAATTACTGGGCCTGCACACAGATCAGGTTTTTGTCAAAGTTTTTCCAGTATGTAGCTTGTTAGCTAGATTTGCCGGCAGGAGTTCACAAGGACGAGAAGGGTGCAATTACTAATAGTCTACCAGTGGCAGGCTTATCTGAGTGGTGCTGGCTGCTACTAGCTGAGCCTGATTTGTTTAGTTATACTCTCTAAAGTTTGTTCATTCCTGTTTCACAGCAGTGTAATGACCTCTGAGCTGTTTGAAACTAAGTGGAGAGATCTAATTGACATTAAATAAAGTGGAGCAGTCTAACACTGTCTGCAATTTGAGGGATGCCGATATGATCTCTTTTGACCTCAAATGTCTACCTTTGCAGGATTCCTTGAGTAACTTGCATGCCGAGTCCCTTGCAGCTTAATGTCTGACATCCCATTGCCAGAAATCCATCAAAGGACAAGAATGCCTCACTTGGATTTAGAGTGTCAGGAAAAGTCTCCCAGAAGAGGCTCCGTATAAAAATACAGTGTCGGCCGTATCACTCTGCAGGTTAACGTACTGTTTGTTCCCTGTGTTTTGAGTGTAGACCTCAACGTTGCTCTTTGTGTTGGCCTGTGTAAGTGCAGACAGTTCAGCTTTGATTACAACACATCTAAAACCGCCCACTCTACACAGCGAGGGCTCTTCTGCGTTGCTGAAATGAGCTCACTGCAGACCTGTTTGCTCTTCACTACGGGCCACCGTCTTAGATCCTCCACGGCTCTTTTCTTATTTTGACACTAATGTAGATCCTCTCACACAGAGGTTGAGCTTTCTCCTGTGCTTCCTGTCTAATGTGTGTAGCTCAGTTGGCGCAGATACAAACTGTGTCTCCAGGAAGTTTTGTATATCCAGGGTTATGGTATCTCTTCCTATTATTCTCGGTGCACTTCAAAAAATTGAACAAAATAAGCTGAAGACAAGGAGTGGGAGTACTGTACCGTAGTGCTTTTATCTGTCATGGTGTGAAATCTGTCTCCGTTAGCCTTCCTCTCTGTATTATTCTCATGCACTTTGAAGTGTCATCTTGGTTTGTGTGTTTCTTTTATCCGCTGGCGAGCTTTCAGAGTATTATCTTTTCACTCTCTCACACCCACACTTATATCCCGACCCAAATCCTTTTATTGCCATCATTATTTCATTCTACTGACCGCAATATTCTGTCAACCTTAAATGTCAGGTTATAACTAATGTATCTGAGAAAGTGGAGCCGGTTACAAAATTATCCACCTAGTGTTGATTTGGAGGAGCTACTTCGACATCTGATGGCTCAAAATGTTAAAAGCATCAGAGGTAGAATAGTGATTGATTCTTCCATGAAATATATATATTTTTTATTTCATTTTATTTTTTTAGCCTACCTGAAAAGCCTTACTTGATTAAGGAGTAGGGCAGGGCGATATGACCAAAAATATTTATCACGATATACATTTGAAAATTTGCGATAACGATATAACTGACGATATAATTGACACTAGACAAAATACTGTACAACTCCACAACTTTATTAGTGCAAAAAACCCCATCAATGTATTTTAACTTAAACAAGCAGCTGTTTTTTATGTGCATTAAAATTACATAAAAATGTAACAGTGCAAATTCCTTGCTGACAGTTTAACCAAAAGGCATTTCCAGTGGAAACTGGTCGACATATCCTCAGCATAACCATGTGTAATATCCACAAAACTTAAAAAGAGGTTATACACACACAATACCGTAATATTATGTTGAAGCACAGTACGTATCACTCCGCGAGGTGATACGTACTGTCGGAGCCGTAATGCTCCGACAATCCATCAAGCTGTGCGGCTTCGTAGCTTAGCAAAGTCGTACTGAAACATCTGACAGATTTTCGAGCGCCGTGTACATAAAATCGTTTCGAGGTCAGTAAACACAACCAGAGTTCATACATAAGGCCCACGGGATTATAAGGGGCTCTGTCGATTTTCAGAAAAATCAAAGGATTGATTTTAAGTGTGCCGTATTTTCCAAACAACACGGTAATAACGACGGCCCGCTAGCATGCTCTACCAAAAATAGTGCTTTGTTGTGTATCTGATGGACGAAAGCTAAACCAGTTCCACACCACTGAAGCTGCAGCATTTTAACAAACCAGTTCTGGTTCATCCGTTTCATTTAACGACCCGCTTTCGCTCTTCTCATTCTGCGTCGCCGCCATGTGCGTATGTAAACATAGGCAGTGCGCATGCGCGTTTTACCCATATTCTATCGCGATATTTCATTTTCCTATCGTTGCCCAAAATTACACCGGTATTACCGTGAACGGTATGATATAGCCCAGCCCTATTAAGGAGATGAACCAACTTAATATTTGGCCGAAACGACACAGAAAGATACTCATGATTTGACTGCAATAAAGCATTTCATTTCCTTTTATACTTTAAGATGTGATACAAAGCCCATCTGTCATCCTCACAAAGCTTTACCATAAACAGAAGGTATATATATTGCTTTACTGGCAACCTACACACATTGAAACATTGAAAAATTCCTCAAGCCCCATAAATAGTCACTCATCCAAAGTTGCATAAGTCCAGGAATTGGTGAATAAACATCTGGTGTAACGGGAACAATGTACTCCACGCATGCATGTTACTCCAGAGCTCTAATTTCAGAACAAAAACACGTTGTATAAGGTTTTGACGCACTGGGAGAAACATAACTTTACTCTGAACTTTTGGAAATTCTCCACTCTTTTTTTTTTTTTTTTCTCTTGTATTTCTTTTCCAGCCTGTTACTTTATTATTCCCGGTTAATGTCACCAGGGTGAGATGTGCGACGATAAATCTTGTTTCCTATTTCAGAAAAGCAGCTGTGTGCTGCAGGACTGAGGGATTTAACAAATAGCTGGTGAACAAAATGTAGCATTTGCAATCTTGAGAGAGAAATATTCATTTTAAAAAGGAAACTCATAAAAACGGGAGTCCAGATTTATGCCAATTAATCCATTAATGTGCTGTTGAGCTGACAGTAATAAAACTTTTTAAAAGGTTGTTTGTTCTGCAGCTTGTTGCTCTGACCTCAAGTGAGCAGAAATCTACTGATGAAACAAACATGCATGATGCAACAAAGCAAAACCACATTAAAATTTAAAGACTCATTTCAGCAATATATACTCATCCCTACATTGTGTAATTATTGTCGACCTTATGCTATAACAGCTTGAACTGTAGCACTTGAGTTGCATTAACCAGAGCTCATGCACAGAGCTCAGAGTGAATATGTCCCCCTTGGTTGAAGAGCTTTAGATAGAATGAAAAGTTGCTGCTGTTTTTTAAGACGTGTCTGTATGAACTCATCACTTTGCTCTAACACCCAGGTAATACAAGTGAAAAATGTAAAAGTTCAAACCAGAGATCTTTCCTGCTTCGGCCCCAGTTTGCAATTTGGTTTTATGAGTCTGGTGTCTCTGCATCTGTAAACGTCCTCGCTCTTCATGTCGGCCTTCAGACTGACAGCATTTTTTCTTCTTCTTCATTGTATAAATGTCTCCACAGGCGCTGAACGTCATCAGTGAGGTTGGAGACCTCCTTCAGCTCAAGTACTCCCGTCACAGACTGCAGCCGTCTTCTGCGCGGCCTTTTGATGATGATGTGTATGAGGACATTGACGACTGATGAATCACTCCGCTGCTTAAGTGGCGTGAACCAGAACAACCCCGGAAAACGCAGAGCGGGTCGGTCGGGATGGATCACAAGTCTTCCTTAAGGAGCGACATGTGCGTACGTGCCCCCTGCCATCATGTTGCCAACTCGTAACCTCCCCAGACGAAAGCAAAACGCTTAAAAATACCCTCAGATTTTATTTTGCCTTACGACACATGCAGAGATTGTGAACAGTGAAAATGGCACCTCTGCTTCTTCCTGCGTCTTTTTTCACTTTTTTTAAAGATTGTTTGTTTGGTTGTGTCTTTAGTATTTGTGGTTTTGGCCTTTGTTAAGCTTGTAATTACAGATCCAGTGTGCACATCATCTTTTTGTTTTTTCTTCTTTTATGACATGAATCTGACTTAAATTGAAAATGTACGGAGACTAATAAGGAGAACATCGTTACCATCTATCAATGAACGGTCCTTTCTTCCACTCCTTTGAAAGGAGCCGTTATCGTCATAAGTAGAAATCACTAGATGCATTTCCAAAGACCTAATTCGTCACCACCAGGAGCCTGTTAGCGTGCAAACATGACATGACTTTCAGCCAGTTCCTTGCATTTTTTTTCGAGTAATGTAACAGGGAATATCTCAGTTTAGAGCTAATTACCTGACAGCTTTCCATTTTTTAAAAAAAAGAACATTTTGATGACTTTATTTAGAAGTTTAGATGGACAAAGTCAGCCTCAAGTCTTAAAGCTAAGCTCACCGTTTGCTAACTTTCACTTCATATTTTTCCTGCTGCATAGCATAGATCTGAATTTAAGCAACAAAGCAGATGAGCACATTTCCCAAAATCCCAAATACTGCCTTTTATGTCTCTCCAGTAAAGTTAAACATCTGTCTTCAGTAGTAAGATGAAGGTATTGCCATAATTTCGCGTTTGAGAATTTTATTTGCCTCCACTGAGCTCTGGGTCAGTAGAACAGTGCCAAAGTGAACAGAACAGATTATCTGTGATGTTTGTATGTGTGAGGAAAAAATAAATGTTTAATATCCTGTTCAAGTCAAAATAGAAATCAAAAACTAATTACTCTTTCAAACATTTGATTTTATCCCTTTTTTTTTCAGTAATGAAATGATTGCAATGATATTACGTGTTGTTTTTCATTTTCCTTAAGGAGGACCTGCTCTCTGTATTGTTACTGTTAAACTCTTATAGAGTAGCTTTGCATTATTCACAGTTCAAAATAATCTTTATTTATGTGAAACTGAGCCTTGGAGCCGCCTCTCAGTTCATCTCAATTTGCTAGAAAATGACCCATTTTTAGCACCCTTTCATTGAAACTGACTTTCTTCTGATTGGTCACACCTCCCTAAGTGTTTGCTGATAACAAGGGGGCGTGGTTTCTTCACTCAGAGCTACACTCGTGATGATTATAACAAAGGCTTCTTCTCTAAATGAGATGAGCCCCAGGAGTAGAAAATCCTGTTGATAACTGAACATTCAGAGCAGTGTAACGCTGAGGAGATGACGTTTGCATTCACTGACCTTTTTATTTGAAACTTTGGGTAGAATTATTATAAATATCCACTGCTGTAGCTATTTTATATATACAAAAAAGGAAAAGCTTAAACGCGCCGCTTTAAGTGAATAACACTTTTATAATAATCAGGTTTCTGTTGCAAAACTATAAACATGATTTCTTTCACTGACAGAACTACCACTTTCATTTCAGAAAGAAAAATATTTAAAAAGCCATGTTGAGATTTAAACACACTCGAGTGCTGCTACTGGAGAAAAAGAAAAAATGGAAATTTAACCCTAAAACATAATACACATTATACTGTTACAAAGTCAGCGTCTTTTCCCCCCACCAGGACCAGAATTACTGGGACTGTGTTTGTCTTCCTGTTTGTTACGGGGGGGTTCCTCGTCACGTGACGAGGTTCAAACTGAAGGATATCTATTAGTGCAGGTAAACTAGTGTGGACAGCATCCAGCTCTTTGCTGCTTTGTGCCTGATAATTGTTTTATTGCCTTGAAAAACAAAATGCTTTCTTTGTGCTGAGGCTAATGAGTCAATAATGATGTTAACAGTCTTAGGATAGGCAAGTGTGTTTTGCCTTTACGTTCTTCCACATAAACAGCAGCTGTATTTGGAAATGTGGGCATTTACATTGTACTACTGAGCTTAGTGAAGGCAGCTCATGTCCCACGTGTATATGCTACCGCTTGCATGCGTGCACACTGACGAGTGCTGTGCAAGCGCTCGTCCTTCATACTAATGCACGCACAGGAAGAATTCATCCCAGAAGCTGCTCTGCACCAGAGCTGGTGGTGCTCAAAGTGAAACATTGTTGTTGTTTTGTAACCTACTACGTTCTGTCTTCATGTCTTTCTGGGGTTGCTGGGTTGTTTTATTTTTTTATTTTTTGGTCCATCTTTGCAGATCTTCTGATGTGTAGCGTGGGATACTTGTGTAACACGTCTTATGTAATCCATTTGGCTTCCTTTCTGCAGAAAATGGATCACAGATGATCGTTCGTGAGCTGAAAGTTTGGTTGCAATGTTGTTCATACAAATACAGAATGTATCTATGTATTTTTAATTATGAGAGAAGCTGTACCGTTATACTCACAGCAAATATTTAAACATATGTTTACGTTATGTAAAGATTTTATGTCCTGACATTTTACTAAGGAGTTTATTAATTAGACCAGTTTCCCTTCAGTTCATTGGTACTTCTCAGTAGTTCTCTGCAAAGACGGCATCTGGTTTCAACCATAAAATCCACTTTATTTAGAAAAAACTGCATAAAAGCAAAATAACCTCGTTGTTTTTATTCTTTGTTTTGGTAAAACGGCATGAAATGCTGTTATGGATGATGGCTCGCTACAAAGTTTATATTGTTTCATTAAAAATTAGCTGTTGGGATGGATGTGTGTGTGTGTGTGTGTGCGCGAGTGTAAGTTACCACACATCAGAGATCGTTGTTCTCTGATATAAAGTAGTGCCTTTGAAGCAGATTTTCTTTCTAAGAATTCTGGTTCTACTCTCATAACTTCAGGTGTTCATCTTTGAACATCTTAATTGTTCTCTTCAACTACTTAGTCTTTAGCAGTACTCAACTGTATGATTAGCACTGTGTGATATCCATGTTAACTAATTTCTCTGCATTTCATCATAGAAAATACACTATTTCAACATATCGGTAAAATATTAAAACGTAATGTCTTGTCAGTTACACGAGTAGATGAATAAAAGAGTTTAAAATATTTGGAATTTTCTTCATTTTTTTTAATGCCCCAATGTAGTGTGGCATAATTGTGTGTTAATTTGTCTGTAGTGTGTTTTTGTCAATAGTTCTGCAGGTTTCCTGAAAACCTTTTTAAGTGGTTTTTTGGACACTGGTGGCTTTTTCACTCATTTTCAGTCCTAGTGCTTGACCATTTTCAGAAGAGCATTTTTTTAAGCCACTTAACAAATTCCAGTTTTTCTTTTTGTCAGATCAGCAAAAAACAATGCTAAAGACAACTGTTTGACAGGCATAACAATAGTATTCTTTGCCGTAACAAAGTGATTACCAATGTGTTTTTAGTCCAAATCCTGGTGTATTTCAGCATGATTTGCAAGCAAATTTGAAGAAGTTGGTAGTGGCAGGGTTGAAAATTACCTCCAGTCAATGGAGTGTATCTGGAAGTCTGAAAGCAAAGACTGGATACAGGAGATGATGCATCTGATCCTTCAGTTGATCAATCTGTTATTGACTGAAGCTTTATCAGAAATCGTCTCAGTGGAAGGTTGGCTGTCAAGATGCTAGTCTTAAGGAAGGGAGACAAGTTTACTTAAAAGATAGTTTATTAAAACTACCCCATCAGGAGACAAACATCACTGATGAGTTGGTGGCCAGTGAAGTGAAACAGAGATGGAGCGGTTAATCTGGGGCAGCCTTTACTGCCTAGAAGTAAGAGGTAAGCTGCATCAAGTGCTGATCTTCCTTTGTCAGCAAATCAATAACAGTAGGCTGCAACTAAGAAAGCAGCGCACGCAAGTATTATCTGCGCCAAATAGCAAATCCATTCTTGCAAATGGGGTCAACAGGAAATCATTTGACCTTACAACATCAAGTAAAAATCAAAGTGTTGTTACTTGAATGTACACCCGACCTCATCACATGGCCTGCAGCAACAAACACACCACACCGCTTTGCAAAATCTGTAGTAGTCAGCATTAAAAAATCAAATTAAAGCATGAGAATCAGCCATAGTAGCAAAACAACCAAAACATCCAAGCTGCCAACAAAGAGGGAACCAACCAAATTCACGCTAATTCAAAGCTCAGTCAATGTTGTCTACACCAAAGCTGCCAGACCAGACTACCAAATTTAAAACGTAATATTATTCAAGTCATACCAGTTACACTTGTGGTACAGTTATGCCACAACCAATTGTGAAAACTCAAGCCATGTGTTTCATAAGGCCACAAACCACAAGAAAATGACTTCAACCACATTTTCTGCCAGACTAAAGAGAAAGCATGCTCCGATACTGAGGTCAGCCACTTAAGCCTATTAAAGGGGATGCATGGCTCATGAAGCTAAACTCATCCCAAAATACAGGTGTTTAATGGCCAGGAAAATGGAGACTATTGTTGTTCTCCTCCAGCATAAACCACAGAACAGCTCAACCTTAATGTAACCAATCCAAATGTTATCTTATGTGGAACTTATTAAGATATTGGTCACAGTGCTGAATACCAAACATTCAGGCTGTACTCAAAAAGCAGAACAGCTTTAAGCTATGTTAGCAAACAAGTTAGCGCTGACCCAAACTTTAACCTTACCAATGGATTGAACATCTCCCATTTGTCACAACCTCACTCAAAGTGGGTGACAAAGGGCAATTTCCCATAGTTCACATAAAAACCTATCATAATATAACCAAGTGGCAATTTGGGTGCTTCCAGGTGGGGTAGAGTAGAGACTGGATAGTACATCTAGACCAGCTTTTATAGCCTGGAAGACCCATGTGAGCTGCATAAGCTGACTATGCTCTCATGCTGGCCAATCACCAATAAAAGCAGGTCAGGACTTTCTTGATACTGGGGAAGGTCATCACAAGTCACACATTAGAAATAACGAAATGACATTAGCTCACAGTAATGTATTTGTTGTTTGATTCCTAATGACCAGCTGCTGTTTGTTTCTTCATTCCCCCAGGTGAACAGTTAGAGCCCATATTTACAAAAGGTCCTGTTCAGGTGCAAAAAGAAACTATTTGGAAAACTGTCAAACCCACAGTATGCTGTTGGGTGAAATGCATTTTGCTTGCAGTTAAACTTCATCATAACTGTATCTTTTTAAGTTGTCAGCTGTTAGTGAGGTGATTGCTTCACAACCTTTGGAATACACTTAAATAGTTGGGGGACATTTTAACAGGGAACGGCAGTCCTGAACTTTTCTAGATATAATGTCCAATTTAGGGTTTGTTTTTTTTTTGTTTTTTGTTTTTTTGGATGATGTCATGGATGACACCGGAGGCACGCAAAAAGCTAAAAGTACAGAATGCTGCTTTTAAGTCTAGTGATGAGGCTGTGTTCAAGACAGTTAGAGCCAGCCTGAACTGTGCATTTATGCTGGAAGGTTCAGTTTCTTCTGTGACCCTATAACACCAGGTGCATGTGGCAGGAGATTCAAGCAATAATAGCTTATAAGGCTACCCCTACACTGTATGACAACAACCCACACCTCAATGACCTCAACAAATCTTTCTGTAGATTTACAACAGACAACACCCCTGCAATAAAATCCAGTCTTCACACGGATGAGAAAGCGCTGAATCTCAATGATGTCTGGAAAACACTGGGGAAAGTGAATGTACGGAAAACATTCCGGGATGGGTACTGTTGGAATTTATTTTGATCTTTAAGGCTAATATCTCATAATTAGTATCACATATTTGTGTTTTGTCCTTTGTTGCACACAGTGTAATGTAGGAGTTTTGGAAGTAGACTTTTACTCTGATACTAACAGAGACAACACTTCCTCACAACCCCCTCACAGGAATGTGGCCTTGTTCATAAATCTGTTGTTATGGTATGCACTCTACACCCCTTCTTTAACTCTGTGGGCCTGACCGGAGGACAAAACGTGGTTTCATCGTAACGGGAGTGTTGCCTGCTAAAGGGCGTCCCCAAATAAGGAGAGGTCAAGAAAGCTGCAGAGCTGGTGATTGGCCGTGAGCTGGTATGAGACCTAAGGCCACTCTCAGCTCTTTCGACCGATCATGTCAACATTCGGTTTCTGTGACCAGCAGTAAAAAGTGTATACTGCCTGGGTGCGGCAGCCTTTGACTCTGAGCCTGAGAGAGGCGGTCCACAAGGCCATGTAAAACGAATTTAAAATTTTAAATGTTTTATTAATTAACTGTGAAAACTTATAACTGGAGCATATTTGTCTTGTCTCTCATAATAAAAACCCCAACAGTACTCAGGGAGTGCGGTGACCAGCTAGCGCACGTCCTTAGAGATATCTTTAACAACTCCTTGGAGCAGACTGTGCCATCATGTTTCAAGTCTGCCACCATCATCCCTGTGCCCATCACATGTTTTAATGACTACAACCCTGCTGCACGAACTCCCATAATGATGAAGAACTTTGAGAAGTTGGTAAAGGACTACATATCTTTAATGCCCCCCATATTTGACCCATTCCAGTTTGCTTACCAGCCAAACCGCTCTCCAGAGGACGCCATTTCCTCTGTTCTCCACCTGAGCTTGGTACATCTGGAGTAGAAAACAGTCAGCACTCCCATGGTTAACTGGCTGCTGGACTTCCTCACCAACAGACCTCAGTCAGCGAATGGGAAACAGCATTTCCCTCTCCATCGGCTCCACTCAGGTCTGTGTCCTGAGCCCACTGCTGTTCACGCTGTGACACATGACTCCAGTGCTGCATCTGCTTCTAGTCACATCATCAAGTATGCAGACGACACAACAGTGGTGGGTCTCATTAGGGACAACAGCGATCTGTCCTATAGAGACAAGGTGAAGCAGTGGACCTGTGCAGTGCTAACAATCTGTTCCAAAACGTCAAGAAGACCAAGATGATCATCAAATTCAGGACAAAACTCTCATCAATGACAACAGTGCTGTGGAGGTAGTCACCAGGGATTTTCTGGGGGTACAGATAACTGACAGCCTGGACTGGAATGAACGTGAGAGTTTGTAGCAAGTTTTATTTCAATGTCTTGAGAAGAGTAGTTGATAATTATAAAGTTTATAAGACTTGCATATTGACCTTTATTTATATAAGACTAAAGGGCTGATGCAATATCTAGAACTGTTACTAAAGTCCAGTTACATTGTACACAAATCCAAAAGTTAACATTTCTAATGTGCCAACTTACTGTTACGCGTCTGTGATTGTACAGTTGACTAAGAATTCATCTGTCAAATTTCCAAACTGTGAATGTGAAGCTTGAGTGCCACCGAAATCTTTGTCACCTCCTTGACATCCTATATAAAGTTTTCAAAATTATAGAACAATTCAGTGAATTTGTCATTGTGATGATTGTTGTTGAGTGTCATAAACTGCGTAATTATAAAGAAATAAATGTAAATTTTCACATCATTCAGCATAAATGACTCACGATAGCCACTCAAACAAAATAACAGAAATACAGCGTCAGGTAGCTCTGTAAGTTGTCATCGTTTTTGATAAGCGCAGCACAAAAGTGAGTTTTTCCATGATTTATTACCATCTGTGTTGACTGTGGGTTGTTTGTGCAAACACAGCAGCCTCCATATCTATTCTCCATATGAGTTTAAGCAAGGGAAGAAGAAAAACCGTTTTCAGTTTGCAATCATTGAAAAGTCCCTGCCCATCTGGTGGTTGCATAACTCCCTCTCCAGCTGTAGTATTTTAGCAGCAAGTCCAAGCGAGTTTCTCTGACTCCAGTCCTGCAGCTCCTGTTGTTTTCAACTTTTTGGTGACTCTGTCATAGTTGCAGAAATGTCCACCGCTGGTAAGGTAGGTACATAATTCCACATGGGAGGCCTCATTTACAGCTTTAATGTTTTAATGTGGGGTTGTTTGTTTGTTTGTTTGTGTTTTGTTGTTTCAAAAAAATTTGTTGCAAACCTGACATTAAAGTATTGTACTTGGTTGAAATGTATTTTGCGTACCTCTGTGTCTAAGTGTGGGCGGGTGTGTCATGAACACTGTAATAGCCGAAAGTGTTACAGATAAGGGTTTCAGGGCAGTTCAGCAGTTGTTAACCTATATCCTTTTACACATGCATGTTTATTCCACTAAGCCCAGCCTAGAGTTACTACTTTGATTGCAATAAAACTGTGATGAGATACATCTGTGAAATATTGCGTTTCCTATTTTGACTTGAATGCACTTTCAATGCATCGAGACAGTTTTGTGCAACTGCAAATTTTGGCAAGGATGCTGCTGTGGAAGGCCAAAAGAAAAGTATGGCGCATGCCCAAGAATTTAGTGCAGGGAATTCAAAAATAATGACCAAAAAGCCCCTTTATTTATGTAATGTAACAACATGTGATTTAGTAAATGGTTTATTTTGTGTTATTCAATTTCCAGAGTCTACATTTACTACATTTGTTAAATGAGACATGGACTTTAGACTGTTCCTTGTCATGTGATGTTTGCCCTTCTGCAGGAAAAGCCTTATCTGAACTATTAAAACCACTCTGCTGTTAAACAGTGGCTCTTTTGCACAAACTCTTGCTTGCACCAGTTGAATAGTATGATTTAAAGATGTTTGAAATTTCTCGAGTTGTGCCAGGCAGGCATTAATGCACTTTCAGTGACAAATGCTACATGGGTAGGTGCTCTTCATAACTCTCCAGAAACCCATCTTGGTATAGTTCAGCAGCACCCCAAAAATGTGACATTTCACGCTGCCACTTTAGGTCATCAAGTGCAAGGCAGCAGTGGCCTGGGAGCCAAACAAGCCTATGGTGATTGAGGAGATTGAGGTAGCCCCACCTCAAGCCAATGAGGTCCGGATCAAGGTGAGAATCGACACACACACATTCACAGAGATCTCTTAGTGCACTTGTGTTGGTGAATGAAAGTAATCATAATAGTGGGTTCTAATCTAAGCAAAAGTTGCAGGAAACTGTTTCTCATGGTGAAACACAAAAAATGGGTAATAAGGCAAAAGTGAAAAATCTGAAAGATAAAAACTCGAATAACTAAAGAGCAGAATCTCCACTTCTTAGCTAATATTCAATTTGATATTTAAATGTAATTCTTCAACTGTAACCTGACAGGGACAAAGTGCAGGTGACAAAAATAGACATAAAAAAATATACAGGGTGTGCCATTTATATGGATACACCGTAATAACATGGGAATGGTTGGTGATATTAAAGTCCTGTTTATGGCACATTAGTATATGTGAGGGGGCAAACTCCTCAAGATGGGTGGTGACCAT